TCTAGGCATACACGTTGAAAAGTCAATTTCATATCTAATTCTAAGTTGACGGCACCATGTTACTCTCTGAAATTATCCCGATGGCTGGGGAAAGGGAGCCCACCCACACTGGTCTGTCTGATGACCGAGGGTGTTCAGTGGATTTTGTGAAGGGCAAAAGGAAGAATACCAATGGAAATGGAAGAGGTCACTCGAATTTGTAAAGACTTTGGTTTTATTGCCACAACTGAAAAGAAGAAGTGAAAGCCAGCGGATGGTGTCTGACTTGGGGACAAAGGCCAGCCTTTTTTCCGGGGTTTCCGGTACATCACCTCTTGACACCAGCCGTACACGGGACCGAGGCTCACTGATGCCCTCGCTGAACGGAAAGAGATGGTATCACAATGCTAATATGGAAATAGGCGTGCCCAAACTGTACACAATTTCTCAATCCAAGTGGCTAAATTTAGAGAAAAACTCCAGTTCACGGAAAGTTCCCATATAAAGAAGACAGAATGCGATGTTGAGAAAAGTAAGACTTCCCAGATCCGTGAAGCCCTAGAATAAATAAATGGGTTTCAGGGGTCCATGATTTTTTTTTTTTTTTAATTCTCATGTAAAATTTAGTGTGTTTGTGTTATGTATGCTTTTTTTTTTTCCCCAGGGAGAAGATACATAGCTTTCATCAGAATTACAAAGAGGTCCGTGACTCTATAAAATACATTTTATATAAAGTGATCGATGAGGGATAGATAAAAAAGCCTCATGTCATTAATTCCTGATACAAGAAGCTGTTTCATTATATCTTTGAAATGTGCTTCAGGTCCACCTAAAAACATTGCAATAACCGTATGCAAACCCTAGAGCTCAACCTCTGCACCCCCTCACGGGGTAAGTGAAACAAAGAAGCTGTTTCTTGCTCTGTGGAAATGGGGGCTTGTGATTACCCCAGGAGGGACTTTTCCTTCGGCTGCCTACTCTGATCATGTGGATGAATAATGACAACAAACAAGAGCGATGTGACCATATTGAAATAAATTGAATCACTAGATGACACAGCAGGTCAGCTTTGCCTCCACGGAATATAAACTCAGTGAAGGCAGGAGTCTTGGTAGTATTCTTAACTCCATGCCTACAACAGTACAACCTGTAAGGTGCTCATCCACAGTGGGTCATCAATAAATATGCATCGAACGCATGACTTGATGAAGAGTTTCCTAGAACCCTATAAAGTCTGTGGGGCCAATTAAATGAGGTTGATTTTTAAATTTATGTTACCACTAATGAGAAATTTATTTATTTTTTATTTTAAAAGCCAAACATTGTCATTGAATAGAAAATGTAATACTGTATTTGTAATTGTTTTCGTGCTGAAAGTTTACGAGTGATTCAATGAAATATTTGTATTTTTATTAATGCAGTATTTCCTTATGTATATTCACTCACATTGTCTCTTTAATCCTCACAATTTTCCTGTAGTATTGCCATTATATATTCCATTTTATAGTTAAATCAACTGATACCCAGAGAGGGGGATCCGCTTGCCCAAGGGCACACAGCTAATGAGTTATAAAGTCATGATGAAGATGAATCGAACCTGCAACCTGGGCCTGGGCCCTGACCCGGAATTGAACCCACCACCTGAGCCACACTGGCAAGGGTAAGTCCAGAACTCTTTTTTTTTTTATCCTCACCCAAGGACATTTTTCCACTTTTTGTTCAGGTAGAGTGGGAGGGAGAGAGAGGAACAGAGAGAGAGAAAGAAACATTGACGTGAAAGGAACACATCGAGTGGCTGCCACCCGCACAACCGACCAGGGCCGGGGACAAACTGCAACCGATGTACGCGCCCTTAGCGGGAACCGAACCCGGGTCTCTCAGGACCGCAGGCCGACGCTCTAACCGCTGAGCCAAACCGGCCAGGGCTGTCCAGAACTCTTTTAAGTAGCCCACACACACCCTTGTCATGAGCTCATTTACCGTTTCCCTCGCAGGGAACAGAGAGAGGACGTGGGGAGCTGGAATAAACAAGCCCTAAGGGGGGGAGGGGGCAGGTGTGAACCCAGGACCACTGCAGAGAACCCTAAGAAACCAGAAGCAGCCAGAGTGACGCGTGGTGTCAGAAATGGCAGAAAGTCACAGAGAAGGTCACCAGCTTTTATCAGATATCCTGCCACTCGGCTCACTTGATTTTTCCCACTGAGGGACTCTCCGAGAATGCGATGGTTGAGGCCAGTGTAGGTCAGAGACTAATTAAGAAGTAGATTCAGACAGAACAAGCCAGGGCCACGGAGAAAACATTTGGGAGCCATCAACTCCAGCTTCCGCTGCAGAGACACAGACTGTGTTCGAGTCGGGCTCTGAGTGAGTGAAGTCAGCACGAAGTGCTTCGCGGAAGAAATCTCATTCTCAAAAGCAGACTGTGAGAACATTGGAGGCGGAGCATCTAGTGGGCAGAGGTCCTCTAGGGACGTCGTACCAGGTCCAACCAGTTGGAATGGACCACAGACGGGTCAGTCCAGGCCTTTCAGCAAGTTGGACAGAGAGCCTGGGTCATTTGCACTCGGCGCTCAGTGAACAGAGACGGTTCTGTGGTGGAAAATGAGACCAGCCGCCTGTTTCGACCTCGGGGCCAGGAAGGAGGCTTTATCTAGTGGTATGTGGGCACCAGCGCTGGTATCAGCGCCAGCTGGCAAAATCACCTCCTGATTCCCGTGTTCCTCTTTGACCCTGCCCAGTAAGACCCTCCCCTTTCAGCATGGAGATCACTTCCATTATTGGAAGACCTACCATGTGTCGGACACTGACGTACCCCTCCCGTTGAGGAAGCGCACCCCTGGAAAGGGCGAGAGGCCTGCTCAGTGCTGCACAGCTTACCCAAGGGTGCCCAGTGTGGCCCTGAAGCCTGAGCGCACCAGGGGTCTCAGGCCCGTCATCTCCCTGGGGTGGCTCACCCGCAGGCAACCAAGGGCCCAAAATTGTCATACAGCCTTCAGGCAAGAAATCCCTCCCACCCTGAGACTTTGCAGGCCTGCTCAGAGCTATAAATCCTCACCAGGACAATGGCAGGAAGTCATCTGTAGAGTCCTCGCCAACCGGGGTCAGCAAACGAGACCGTGCTCCTGGGGGGCTCCCCTCCAGTCCATGCCACTTCCCCACATCCTGGCCTGCAGCTGCCCTCGGTGTCTCAGAAACCTCTGGAAGCCTGGCCCTGCCTGGTTGCAGATTTCACCCCAGTCCTGCTGGGGTACCAACCGGAGCCGTGATCGGCTCAGCACTTACTTCTCCCCAGGCGCACTGCTTGGGGCCGAGGAACATCGTCTGTGGCCGTCCTTCCAGCAGCCCTGCAGACAAATAGTGTATTATCCCAGCGTAAGTGCATAAACTGCAGCGAGAGGTTCCCTCGCTGTGTGACACATGACTCAGCAGTACCATCAGAGCTAGTGGAACCCGGGTCTTTTGTCTTCGTAGCTGTTCCATTACCCTGCCTCCCCAGGATGTCTCTGGAACTTCTCTCGGCCCTGACTCGCAGGGGTCCTGGGGACCTGCAGAGCTTCCCTTGATCACAGGGTCAGGGACAGAAAACCAGCAGCTCAGCCTCAAAGGAAGCCCAGGCCCATGGTGACCAAGGACATCCATGGAGTCCATTGGCCCAACCTGGCTGGGGCCCGAGTCAGGGACGCCCAGGTGTGTGAGATCTCTGCCACAGGTGGGCAGTTAATGCACTGGTGGTTGTTCGACTAACGCTTAAATAGGAATTGGTATGTCCTACATCCGTGGAAGAATACAAGTCTAAAATCCTGACTACAACTCAAAATCCTGTTCCTATGTAAAAGCTGGGGGAGGAGGAAGAGGAGGAGGAGGAGGAAAAGGAGGGCCTTCTCCCACATTCAAAAGCTTTCATAATATTTCATGAAGTTTATCACGACCTTTCCTCATAGCCCAAGCGGGGAGACTACACGTCACATGATCCCACACTTCTCAAGACCGTGGCCCTCTGGCCCAGTCCCCTGTCCTGTCTGAGGACAGCCAATGACTTTACCGCATGTCTTTCCCCTGTCAATGACCTGGTTCCATTTTGCTTTGTTTTCTCCAGAAAATCAGCATTCAGTTCTCATCTTCAAAACAGAAAAGCAGTCTCTTAGGGATGCAGACATCACCCCGGCGGGGAAGCCACACACCTAGACGTTCTGGAGAGAACAGCGGCCTGGTGCACAGCCACGTACACACGAGTGGGCTCATTCCGGTGCCTTTTTCTTCTTGCTGGTGTAAAATCCACCTGACTGCCCAGTGCTACGTGGCTCGTTTTCTGCACAAGGAAAGACCTGGAGAAAACTTGACCCTTTGAGGAATGACCCACCTTCTTTAGAGGTAATAACTAGTTGACCTGACTACTCTTCGGCAACAAAACAAGGAGCCCAACCTCACCATGTAAAGCTATTTAGAGCAAAATTAATAACTTTCAGATGTAATGAATGATCATTTCTACAGTCTCTGGGCGCTGCTGATCCGATGGCCACAGGGTTGTGTGTTTGTGATTTCGCGGGTTTTCCCTGCAGTTTTCGTTTGTGTTTAGTTTCACAGGATGGAAAGAGGAAGCGCCTCCCCAGCACCCCCAGGACGGTCCTGCCAGCCTCGGGTTTCCTGCGGTTTCTGCGCCGACTTCAGACAGCGAAGCACAGACCTGCGAGTTTCTGCCACAGCTGCAACTGGGTTTTTTCCTTTTTTGGCGGTTTTTAGCTCTGAAGAACTGCGTGGCGGGGACCCCTCCAGCTCTTGCCAGAGCCTCTGTGGCTCTCAGGGATCTAGTGATAAGTGACTCTGGGAGTGTGTGTGTGTCTTGATTCGTCTCAAGGGTTGTGTGTGAGCGTGGTGTGTGTGAGTGAGCGTGGTGTGTGTGTGTGTGAGTGAGCGTGGTGTATGTGTGTGTGAGTGAGCGTGGTGTGTGTGGTGTGTGAGTGAGCGTGGTGTGTGTGGTGTGTGTGTGTACGCGCACGCGCGTGCCTGGCGGAGGACGGAAGAGGAGGGAGACACAGCTCCGTTCCGCGGCCTGCACTCCACCCTGCAGCCAGGCTGGAGTCTCTGCACAGCTCCGACATGCAGGCCCTCTGGAAAGTCCTTTTGGTGGCTCCTCTGCTCCTCCTGCCCTTCCCCACGGTGGCCTCTCCAGCCCGGGATGACCAGCCCAGCACCAGGCCCTCCAACGGGCACGCCTGTGTAGGTACGTAAATAGTTTGCATGTTTGTTCTGTGCACCTGACAGTGTAGTCAAACAACTTTGCTTGTCTCGTCAGTCACCTATTTAATGACGTCAACAGCTGTGAGAGTCCAAGTGAGACGCCAATGACCTGTAAAAACTTAGTGTGAGTGTTCAGTCTACACACGCAGGTGTGGAGAGAGGTGCCCTGTGCAGCGGCTGGTTCCGATCAGGCAGAAAAGTCTTCCACCGCCTTAGTGGTGGGAGTTCCCCCTACAAAGCCTGACACTCGCACCCCCTTTCTGACGGCCCGTCGGCAGCACCGCACAGTAGAAGGAAGATGGACTTTGAGCTCAGACACACCTGAATTTGAACACTGCCCCTGCCCGCTCCATCCCCCATTGTCTATAACACCTAGTGCAGCTCCTAGCCCTCCCAGACTCGTGTTCTCGGTGGGTCACAGGGCCCCACTCACAAGACCGAGCTGTGGACTTAGAGCCCTGCACAACAAGGACTCAAGGGTCTCAGTTTCCTTCCTTCCCTGGGCAGCCGAAGGTTCCAACCTGGAAACAGGGAACATTGATGGAGATGCAGCTCCTTTGTCTTTCATTGAAGTGCTTTATTTCCAAGTTGTTGATTGTGTGTGTGTGTGTGTGTGTGTGTGTGTGTGTGTGTGTGTGTGTTTGTGGGGAGGGGTGCTTTTGGAGAGGACTAAAAGGAGGGTAAGACCTATGATATTCATATTATACCCGCAGCTTCCAGAACAGGGGCAGGCATTTTAATGGGTCAGTCTTTGGAGCCAAAGAGACTCGGGACTCTTAGTAGCAGTTATTTGATGAGCTACTCAGGAAAAGAAGCCCACGTGTTGATGACTGTGTCTCACAGACGGAAAATCTAGACACAGATCCTGACACTGACCAATTATTGCTCGAGAGAGCACAGACGAATATGCAAATTAGTCCTATGTCCTGGAACACCATGACCTCGGGGCATTACTTACGTGTGTGAACACACCTCTGGTTCCAAGTCTCCTTTCCATTAAAACCTCACAGACTCATAGAGTGGAAAGTCAGCTCTGGGCGGGGGCGGGAGGCTGGGGTGGTGGAGGGATTGAATGAAAAAGAGAAAGAGAGAGAGAACTCATGGACAAGGTGTGATGGTTGTGGGGACGGAGAGGGGCGGATGGAGGAGAAAGGGGCGTACAGAGGAGATATGGTGATGGAAAAATAAAACCCTTCAGACCCAGGCTCCGTGTGAGACTGTGCCCCACAGTCCTGGAAGCACAGGTCCGCGCCCCCTGGGAACCGTGTGTGGGAGTCACCCTCACCCATTACTTGGTTCTGTCAAACAACTATTTACCACCATGTCTTCTTCTCAAAACAAGGCCCTGCAGTCTGTCTAGTGGAGGTAAACTTCATGAAAGGCTTAAGTGAAAGAAGTTCTATTTCTAGGATGCTTGCAAATCAGATTTTTAGATTCAGGCAAGTTGAGAGGTCGGGCCTCCACTGCTTTAGAGTAGACATGAGCACGCATGCCCTCCCTGCCCTGCTCCCGGTGAGGCACAGGGGGTCGAAGGAGGTGCAGAGGGATCCAGGGCGGGGCTGTTCTGGTTGTCTGTTGCTGGACAACGAAAACATAATCATACTGCTGTATCATGATGCTGTGGGTCAAGCATTTTTCGGAGCCTGGCTGAGGATTCCCTGCTCCATGCAGGACTGACGGAGGGATTCAGATGGAGCTTGGTGGGTCTGCAATGACCCAAGACAGCTTCACTCACATGTGGTGCATTGTGGGAGGGGGTAGCTGGAAGGGGGGCTCTACTGGGCATGCCCATCAGAGCTTTTATATTTGTCCTCTGCAGCAGGACAGTCTCGGGAAGCAGGACTTCTCACAGGGCAGCTCAGGGACCCAGAGACAGAGTTCCGAAAGCCGGGACCAGAGCTGCCAATCTGTCAAGGATGGTTCTGGAGAAGGCTCAGCATCTCTTCCCCCGCCTTCTATCGCCAAAGCAGTCACAGTCCCTCCATTCAGACACAAGGGCAGCAGACACAGACCCCTCCTCTTGATGGGGGTCATCAAGGAGTGTGCGGCGATCTCTGCTGGCCACACATGTCCACTTTGATTGTCCATCAAAGCACTCCATGGCCCGAGATCTCGGGGGGCTCCGGCTGATTAGGTCAGACGGTGATATGACACCCATTTCCCCACCAATGCACAGCTCCCGGCTGGCCGCAGGGATGACTCCCCTGCCGGCATCATAACAAGGAAGGTGGCCCAGGAGGAGCCGGCGGTGTGGCCAGCATTCTGAGCACTGGCGGCCGAGCAGCTGCAGCAGGGGGTGGACCCGGCGCCTCACCGTCTGGGAGCGGACCCTCGGGGAAGCAGGCTCAGATGGGAGTCGGGGAGTGAGGGTGGCAGAGAGGGCGAGGAGGCAGGCTGTGCTGCAGTCACACGCAAAAAGGCCCCGCCAATCCCACCGGAGGCTCTAGAATTAAAATGGCTCCTTAGAGTCGTCTCGAAGTGGGTCGGGGCCTTGGAACCCCCGTGCTGAAGAGCCCCAGGGTTTGAACTGACCCCAGTGGAAGAGCTCCCGTGGGCAGAGGCGTGCCCGGGGAGGACCCCGTGAGCCCTCGGCACCCCCACTCCCTGCAGGGGCACACCCACATTGTCCGTCTGCTCAGTGACAGCACTCGGGTGGTTTGCAGTTCTCGGCCGTTGGGAATGACCCTGCTACAAGCATTGCTGCACGGGGCTGAGTGTGGGACCTGCTTTCTCTTCTCCGGTGCCTATAGCTGGACGTGGACTCTGGGTGATGAGGAGCCGTTAACATTTTGAGGAGCTGCTAGACTGTTTTCTAGAGCAGTTGGTATCTATCTGACTTGTTATTATCGTTTCATTTTTTTTTTTTTTTACTATATAATCCTAGGGAGTATGAAATGGTGCCTTGTTTCGGTGTGATTTTCTCCAAATACTGGCCATTGGTATAGCTTCTTTGAAGAAATGTCTATTTAAGTCCTTTTCCCACTTTGGGTTTTTTGTCTTTTATTCATTGTAAAAGTTTTTTATGTAATCTCGATGGTATTCTTGGAAGTGCGAAGGTTTTTAATTTCGATGAAGTCTAATTTATCCTTTTTGTGTGTGTGTGTGTGTCTTGTGATTTTTGTGTCACGTATAAATCCTATATTTTCAAACTGTTGCCACTATTGTCTCACGCTCAGTCCCTTATTTTATCTCCCAGAAACTGGGTCACTAGCCCCCATTTTGGTTGTCAAAGGTGCAACTCCTAAGAATGCAAGTAGCAAGAATAAACATGAGCTGGACTAAACCAAAAAAAAGAAACTTTCTTAGGAGTATCCCAGTAATGAATTTTAGGATCAAAAGCCAGAAAAACACAGTCAAGGCTTAAAAATGGACCCAGGAGCCCCAAGCTCAGGGCGTCCTCTCTCCTGCCCCGGTGCTGGCTCCATCTCTCTCCCTACAGCCCCCTGGTTTTCCTGCCCTGGACCCGTCCGCTGCCTAGGTGCTCACAGTCCAGAATTCACGCGTAACAGTTCAATCCACACAGAGATGGGCTGTCTTTCTGGCTGCCAATCAACTTCCCAGCAGGGACTCCGGGCCGTCTTCATGTCACTGAATAAGAGGCAGGTGGGAGAGAAGACACCTCACAGTACAGATGTGGCTGCCAAGGTCGCGAGGGAGGGGTCAGCTCTCACAGAAGGGGGGGTGTTGGGACTGGAGACGCTCCAAACGGAGCCACACAGACGTTACTGAGTGATCGAGACAATATCTCCACCATAAACAGCCCAGCTCCAGCCCCACGGGAGCCTTTGCAGTGGGAACCAAACAGCGGACCCAGAGGGCATGACCTTGAACATAGTCCAGTATCAGAACTAAGCTGGGCAGAGCCCCAGTGGTCCCTGTTTCAACTTACCATCATTCCTTTGCACTGAACTATACATCGCAGTCGATCACTAAGCAAACAGGATTCTGCTGGGCCCCTTTCTGCCACTTTTTAAATGTTATAGAATAAATAATGAGCCATGTTTATTTTTTTTTTGCAAAACATCATTTTTTTTTTAACATGGTGATTTAGGAGCAAAGTAATCCTATGTTCTGAAGTCATTGGCATTTAAATTAATTCACCCAGGCTTTTTTTTTTTTAAGCACTATTTGGTGCTCAGAAAGTCTTACAAAAGGTTGAAGAAAAACACACTTTTTCTCCTCGTTCATGTTTGGTTAAACATGTAAAATGCCCTCAGACTCAGTTAAAACCCTTTCTTTCTCCCCCTCTTCCCATACTTCACACAGAGGAGTCAGAGATGACTTTCTAGTTTGAATAATGAAAAAAAGGGGCGGTCCTAGGGATTCAAGCCAATGTGAAGAGTAAAATGACAGGGTCGCTGGGAAAACAAAGCAAGACTTAGACACAGCCAGCAGAGAAGGTTGGACATTTATGATCACACTTTGTATACAGAAATTTCACTTTCTCCACTCCCCTGTAACTGAACACTTGTTCATGAGCCGCCGCGGCTGCTGATAGAGAAGCCGTTTCATCATCTTGCCACAGGTGTGTCTAAGGTCTGACTTTGCCACTGAGGTTCATATGGAGGACATTTTGCATAACTGAATGAGCTAGTTCTGCAGATCCAACGTTCAACACATATATATATGAAGTATGCATTAAGATGAAAAATGTTACTTAAAATACTGTACAGGCAAAAGTGTATTGAAAAGAGTAATGGTTTGGCTTTCTCATTTCTTCTGAGTTCATTAGGTTTTAACATGGTCTCTCCCAGTAAAATTGTAATAGACATAATTAAAAGACAAGTCTTAGCAAAACATTTCTTATCGTCCCAGATATTGAGAAAGTGACTAAGTAACAAATGTTTTTGCAAGTCAGGTGGTTTCTCATTCTTTGCTTTCGACACAATTGAATAGGGACTTAATAGAGTTGTCAAGTGATCGATCATTTGAACTAATTTTCTATGATAGAGCACTCTACGGTGTTTGACATTTAAGGGAGGA